GTCCTCCACCTGGCATTATAACCAGGTTCCTGCCATGCGGATCCTTCTTCACAACCGCATCAAACTCGGCCAGCTCGCGGTGCCCTCTTGCGATTTCCTTCGGATGCACTGTGGCACGGGCTGCTGGCGGTATCCCTGGGCTATCCCCAGGCCTTGCCTTCTCTATGGGAGGCGCCTTCTTCGGCAAACCGCTTCCTCCAGGCGGTGCCTTAGGCGCATGCGCGGGGAAGGCAGGTGTGATCACCGGTACGGCACTGTGGCCGACCGCAGGCGAGGTCGCCATGGCACTGTGGCCAGGCTCCGGCGCTGCTGAAATCTTCGGTGCAGCCTTTGCCGTCGGGGGCGCCTTCTTAGGCAGCTGCCCCTCCTCTGCGGCCATCGCGGCGGGCTCCGTGTCTCCTACGGACGTGCCTACCATGCAATGATTCGGGAACGCTACGCTTATACGTCGCTTAGTGTTGTTGCGATTCTCAGCTGTGGTTGTGAAGCTGTGACCGTGGCCTACGCCTACAGTGCTATGACCATGGCCTGCATCTACAGTACTGTGACTGCGACTTGTTGCCACTGCGTCATCTGCCGCTGTTGCATCTCGAGGGGTGCTCACAGACTCTGAGTGAGCTAAGGCGGCGGCGGCGGCAGACCTAAATATAGGAACTGGCGGTGAGGGGATTTGGAAGCTCCTTATGAGACGGGGTTGTTTCACCTGAATCAAACCTTCTGTTATGTTTATGCATAACAGCCCTGAGTCATGTGTCCGACACAGCTTGATCCTAATGATGCTATCCTCAGAAGGAAGTCGAACACCACACTCACCGAACCGAAGATCCTTGGTTATACCAAGTTGGGCCTGGGCGTAAAGGGACAAAAGGAGAGGGGCTGTACCCTTAATCTCGTGAGAATCAAGGACGCCCGGAACTCTCAAGTCCTGCTCCAATCCCATTATAGAGAAAGGTATGGTCCTGCTACCCAGGGTTTCGGTAGCACCGCTAAGACCCTTGAAGGTACGATTGCCCTCAGGTTTAAACCTCGTGCTGTAACCGAAGTTCGCAAGTTTCCCCGCCGCGTTTGCTATCCAATCGCTACCGTGAACAGTCGAGTTACAGCCCTCATCCAACACGGCGTATACGTGCTTATCCTCGTAGATATTTACTACGGGCAAATCAACCAAAGCCGGATGGATATCTGTGACCCCCTCAGTGAAAGCCACGAAGGCGTGCCTCGTCGCGGAGGCCCTCGAGGAGCGCGATCTCGCCGACGCCACTTCCCAACTGTTGTTGGTCGATGACGCAGAGTGATCATCTAAGGCCTCTTGCAGGTATGCGAGAAGGTCACCGCGAGATATCACGGGCTCGGTTACGAAGTGACCCTCTATGGTCTCTTGAAACTGGGCAATAGCCGGAACTACTACCTCTACGGGGAGGCTATCCCCCGTGCTGCCGACTATGCTGCGCAGAAGATCGAAGTCCAGGGTGTTGGACTCCCGCAGCACTGTGGCTGCGTCATCCCTAGCCTTTCGCTCGGTCTGCGGCTGCTCATCTAGAAGCATCCCACAAAGCTTGCACTTAATGCGGGAGGTCTTCCTACTGCTACCCGACCTCTCGGTGGAGGTGTGGGGGCATGTGGCCTGGTCTATGACAGGCTTCTCTTTCTTCGTCTTGGTGACGGTGCCGCATTTCTTACAGGTCCGCATGTCTATGTATGCGTTACTCCCCGACTTGTTGAACTCCTTGCAACCTCCCCGGCATTTCCGGGGGCCTTCGCTGGACGAAGCAGCTGACGCGGCGAGGCGAACCTCGGGCTGAAAGGGTTCAGGCGGGGGCTCCTGGCTGAGAGGGACATCCCTTCTCGTGATGCTAATGGGGTTGTCATCACGCACATCAAAGTACTCCGTGACCCAATCCAAGAAATCGGCCAAATTTATGGATGGGCACTTCTGCGTGCGTCCCCAAAGAACATACCCAGGAAACGTATACAAGACACGCTCATAAGTCAGACCCTTATGCTGACCAAAGGAGAAAACGCGATCGGAGCCCTCAGGCGGGCTGTCACGCATGATCCTAGCGGCGGCTGTGCGCCGAAGCTGTGGTGAGAAGAGGGTTTCATTGCCGCGGCCTTTGCCGGTATTGGTCTTTGAGGGAGTCAGCTCAAGGTTGGCTGGGTAACCCTCGAGCCTACCAGCGCTCGCATTCGACAGATGGACACACTCTGTGTCATCCTCCTCCACTGCGGCGAAATACGCCTGGGGCTTCGGCGCCGCCGGCTTTGCGGCTGCGTTGGCAGTTCCCCCAGACTGTGCTGGGGTTGTGGTGCCCTTGGGGCCATTGCCCTTACCGCTAAACTTGCAGGCAGCATCTCCGGCCCAATGGCCGATCACACCGCACTTCAGGCACCTACTCTTTGCCTTAAGCTCTGCCAACTTGGCCTTACGATCAGCAATAGTCAAATTGCTACGCACGACCTTCCCTCCGGATTTTCCGGAGGACTTGCCCTTGTTCTTCCCTTTTCCTTTTCCTTTCGCCTGGGCAAAGGCGGTCTGTGCCGCGTACGCAAGCTGAACTGACTCGGCATAGGAATCATCCAAATCGTCAATCTCAGCTTCATATGCCACTGCCGTATAGGCGTTGAGTTGCAATGCTAGGTCTTCATCATCAATCCATTCATCCGCATCATCTCCCCCAGACGCTGTGGCCTGGTATGCTTCTTCGCCGTAGCCGTCACCGTAGCCTTCCGCGGATTCCTGCTGTTCCTGGTGACCATACTCTGCGGCACTACCATCATACCCCATGTAGCCAAACTTAGGGTATTGTGGCTTAGCGTCGAAACGTCTCCAGGTCTTACCTGGGCCACTAGGGTCCTTCTGGGTAAGAAGACGTTCCTTCATGTGCACCACTGAGTGATGCTGAACAAGGACGCGTGCGTACTCATCCACGGTGTGTACGCGGGCGGCGGTCTTGACCATTAGCTGTTCGTTCCTTTCCAACCCTGAAAGCTCAACAAGGAGGTTAGCCCTCATTGCTTCAGAAAGGCGGATATCAGGATCTAGCTCACGCAAGGTCGACCACCACCGCTTTCGGCGGGCTATGTAAGACAACATAGGCTCGCCGGGTTGCTTTGCAAGTGGGCCCGTCAGGAGCTGTCCCTGACGGAAAAGTTCGGACGCCTCTTCAGATTGAAGAGGGAAAGCTTGCCTCCTGATTTCTTCTATCAGGTAGTCGACGCCATCATGGCGAAGCAGACGTTCCAGGCCGACGTCGCGAGCAATGCAAAAGGCGTCTCCTCGGAGACCCTCCAAAATCTTGCTAACGCATTCGCTCATATCAAGCGACTCGTCCTTAATGTCTTGCAAGGTGTACACCGCCGGATCTGTGTCCGGCTCCTGCTCATCGTCGCCCGCCACTTGGCTGGGGTGCGACGGCAACGACTCCGCATCCTCATCTTCTGCCTCGGACGCGGGCTTAGTCCGTTTTGCGCTGGACGGACTGGCGGGTATACCGCTGCTTCCATCACCATCTGTGGGCGATGCACTGGTCCCCTGACTTGCCCTGCCACGCCACTTCCTTGGTGACTCGCTCTTGGCCCTTGCCGACTCGGCAAATCGCAGGTCCTTAAGAGCTTCACGCCGCTGCTTCTCCTTATGTTGCAGCACGCGGATCTGTGTCCGGAAGCACCAATCGTGGAAGCCAGCAGCCGTACCGTCGTATATGTACGAACCGCTTTTCGTTTCTGCAGGGCTCAGGTTCTGTGACCAGAGATTGGGCTGGTAACGCAAACCTGCCACGCTCATGGCTTCAGATAGAAGGGGCCTTTGCGCCGCGACTATCACTACTCTACCCAACGGACCCCGGACCACAGGCTCTACGGGGGTGAAACACTAGTGGTTGTCCTCACAGCTCCGCTACCAGTTTGAAGCAGGAACTGGATTAGTGAGTGTCCAACCACACTACGAGCGCACTTTTTGGTCTGAGCCCAAGACGTCTGTCGTACAGGGTGCATTCAGATCTAACTCAAAAGACTACGCTCGCATGAGGACAGGTCAACACGGCGCTTCAAGACAGGGAAATTTCACACAGGTGCTTGGGACGACGTTCTTCAGTTGTGTGCGAGCTCTTGGGCCGGAGGTCGATGAGAGCCCTGCTGCAGCCACTGTGAATCCGCTACTGAATCTCACACCCTTCTGCTCAAGTTCAATACGAACGCCTCAGTCACCAAACGTTGCCGACCTCTGAAATCCAACAGCATTGCGATGAATCACAGAGTTGAAGGGAGCTTGTTGGCCTTTCCTTGTCTTCCTTGCCCACCTTTACGGTCCCCGCATGTCCCCACAAGTTTCATTTGTATCCCATAAAAGGGTGTCATGTTCCTCATGAATGGGTCCTCCATGGGTCCTCCCAGCCGTCAAGATGTTACGGGCTGCCCAACGAGAAAGAGAGCCGCAAGGCCAAATATATGAAGCTCATAGATGGACATGACACCTGTGATCAACCCAAAAGTCCCGGCCCAAAGTCACAAAGTGTACACTTAGGCACAAGTCACCAGTGTCGGCGGGTATATGAATTATTATGACAGGAGCAATGCTATAATAAACGTCGCGGTCGATTAGCACTCCCGCTTCCGAGCGCGTTCTCCTTTGTCCATTCTTCCTTCCCTCCTGGAGTCCTAACAGCTGCCCCCACCGCCTTTTGCTTGCTTGGAGTACTATTGGCAGGCTGTCGGGGCGCTCGGTGAAAGTCCAGCTTGTGAATGGGGTTCTCAGTTCTAGCAGCTAGCAAAGTCTAGAATCTAAACACGACAGCTGATAGATGTTCTGTACAAGCCTGCCATGCAGAGAGGAGTGAGCTAAGAAGCCACGGTCCAGGAAGGCTTCACACACATGTGGAAAACACATCGGTGTTCGATGCATTTACGTATGTGGCCAGAAAACTTATGATGCTCCAAGTAGAACGCCACTGGAACACTGTTGGAAAACAAGCACCAGAAACGACTCCTGGCAGTCAAGAATCTCAGGATGTCGAGCTGCGGTTTCCACAGGGAGGCCGTCTCACATGCAGCGAGCAGTGTGCTGGAACTGATCTCGTCGGGCTCTGCAACGGACGAGCGTAAGCTGCACATCTTTCGGAACAAGGTAGACGCCCAGAACCACTTACCCATCCGAGAGTAGGCATCCAACGCAGCATTACACATGACGGTGTCAATACTTACACCCGCCGGGGAGTCCAGGATCGCCATAGCCGTCTTCCATTCCATACGCTTCCTGAGAGATGAACTCGGCTCACCATTTGCTGCACTCTACGCTTGTCCGTTGAAGGCGAGGTGGCCTAGGCCCGAACTCTGTGTTTGATAAGCCCCTCAAAGGAGCATTCAAGAGCAACGCCTCCAATTGAAATTCTGCTACACGTAGCGACAATATCATGCTATCTGCGCATACAAGCCGGAAGGGACAACCTGCTCCGATTGCGAGGCAAGCATGGCCGTCGCAGCTGCCTCTTTCTGGCAACTGCACACTCGACTTGAACTGTGACAACACTTTCAACATGCGCTGTTTGAGTTTCATGGTCGCTACTTTTGACAAGCTTTGCACTGGGCCTCGGATGAGAGAGAGAGAGAGAGAGAGAGCATGTGTATATGATAATATTAACAATAATAATAATAACAATAATAATAGTAATAATAATAATAATAATAATAACAATAATAACAATAATAATAACAATAATAACAATAATAATAATAACAATAATACTAATAATAATAATAACACTAATAATAATAATAATAATAACGATAATAATAATAACAATAATAAAAATAATAATAACAATAATAATAATAACAATAATAATAACAATAATAATAATAACAATAATAATACTAATACTAATACTAATACTAATACTAATACTAATACTAATACTAATACTAATACTAATACTAATACTAATACTAATACTAATACTAATACTAATACTAATACTAATACTAATACTAATACTAATACTAATACTAATACTAACACTAACACTAACACTAACACTAACACTAACACTAACACTAACACTAACACTAACACTAACACTAACACTAACACTAATACTAATACTAATACTAATACTAATACTAATACTAATACTAATACTAATACTAATACTAATACTAATACTAATACTAATACTAATACTAATAAAAATAAAAATAAAAAGTAATAATAATAATAGTAATAATAATAATAATAACAATTATAATAACAATAATAAACATAATAATAAACATAATAATAAACATAATAATAAACATAATAATAAAAATAATAATAATCATAGTGAAAATAATAATAGTAATCATAATAATAATAAACATAATAATAGAAATAATAATAAACATAATAATAAAAATAATAATAATAATAGTAAAAATAATAATAATAATAATAGTAATAATAATAATAGTAATAATAATAATATATATATATATATACGTATATACATATTATGAGCACGGTAGATGCCCTGCATTGCTGCGAGTTCACGCCCGACTGCCTCGAATGTATGTAAGTGCCCGCACGGCACAAGCGAGCTCTTATGCTCGAGGGCAACATGGGGCGTCTGGTGAGCTACAGTCAGTGGCAATCACGAGCTTAAATCGTTATCAAAGGCTGCTGAAGCGAACTACAATGCATAGGCAGCCTGAAAGGAATCTGAAGATTTCGGAGTGCCTGTCTGTCTGTCTGCCTGCTTGCCTGCCTGCCAGCCTGCTTGCCTTCCTGTCTACGTGAAAGTCAGGACCGGCTTGAGTGAACGGACACCAGACTATACTGGTGCAGGCCGAGCATCCCACAGGCGGCTATGCAAGAAGTGGCTCCGAAATCGTCCGGGGCACATCTCCATGCCGCAAGCTTGCTCCTCTCCAAATCTCAATCGTTGAAGGCTTGTTGAGAATTGAGAACTATACTCGAAAAGTGTCACCGGATTGCATGATTTGAGCAGCGGTCTAAGTTGATGCCGAGGCTCAACAACCACGTGGCTGACATCCACAAGCCACCACGCTCGCAGCACAAGATCAACCCGTTGAAGCCTGTGGCCGCAGCGATGACATCGACTCCGCAAGTTTTTCGCGCTTCGCTTCGTCACAAGTTGTAGGCTTGTGCGGCACAGCCGCTTGTCTGATCTCTCCTGGAAAAGCCCGCGAATGGCGAAACCAGGAAGGTCCTCAGAGCTGTTGACTTGAGCTTGGAATGGTAAACTGAACTTGTGTTCCGCACACCCTCGGCTCTCAACATCGTAGGAAGTCAAAACGTACCTTGACATGTGGTGCCTAATTACACATCCTCTCAGATGACAACATCCCTTGCACAACAGTTGGTGCAAGTGTCAGCGCAGCCTGCCATTGTCCAGATGCCGCAGAGGACATAGCGGCAGAATGTAAGCAAATTTGGTTTGCTGGCAAATTCCTCGCAACAAAGATGCAAAGCTCCACGCGACACGATCGTGCGCAGCTTGACCCGCCCGCTAAACGGCAACAAATCCCGTCATATCCCGTCCAAAGCTCGCCCCGAACATCGTGGACAGAATGGCTGCCGACCGCTTCCAGCCGTATTCCATCCTGAGACATGCACACTATGCGATGCACCGAATAAAGATTGACTTGAGACAGCCGACAATGTGGTGACCGCTCCCCAAACAACCGCCATGAGCAATGGCACCTCCCGCTTGACGATTTCTCTAGTGACCGAAACTCGGGAGGGCAAGATAACACCCGGTGCGGGTGGGTGGGAAAAGCTTCGGACCGAAAACGGACACGATCAGTCACCTGGTGCAACATCTTCCCACCGACCACGCTGGGCAAATTGCCACTACAACAACCGCAGGCTATTGCTTAATTCGGCAATCTGCTAACCGCACCGCAAACAACCGCCTTGAGCAACGTAATGGGACGCAAGCTGTTTTACAATCGTTGGTCGTCAGGTCGCACCTCCCGCTTGACGATCTCTCAGTGACCGAAACTCGGGAGGGCAAGATAACACCCGGTGCGGGTGGGTGGGAAAAGCTTCGGACCGAAAACGGACACGATCAGTCACCTGGTGCAACATCTTCCCACCGACCACGCTGGGCAAATTGCCACTACAACAACCGCAGGCCGCAGGCTATTGTTTAATTCGGCAATCTGCTAACCGCACCGCAAACAACCGCCTTGAGCAACGCAATGGGACGCAAGCTGTTTTACAATCGTTGGTCGTCAGGTCGCACGTCCCGCTTGACGATTTCTCTAGTGACCGAAACTCGGGAGGGCAAGATAACACCCGGTGCGGGTGGGTGGGAAAAGCTTCGGACCGAAAACGGACACGATCAGGCACCTGGTGCAACATCTTCCCACCGACCACGCTGGGCAAATTGCCACTACAACAACCGCAGGCTATTGCTTAATTCGGCAATCTGCAAACCGCACCGTAAACAACCGCCTTGAGCAACGCAATGGGACGCAAGCTGATTTACAATCGTTGGTCGTCAGGTCGCACCTCACGCTTGACGATTTCTCTAGTGACCGAAACTCGGGAGGGCAAGATAACACCCGGTGCGGGTGGGTGGGAAAAGCTTCGGACCGAAAACGGACACGATCAGGCACCTGGTGCAACATCTTCCCACCGACCACGCTGGGCAAATTGCCACTACAACAACCGCAGGCTATTGTTTAATTCGGCAATCTGCTAACCGCACCGCAAACAACCGCCTTGAGCAACGCAATGGGACGCAAGCTGTTTTACAATCGTTGGTCGTCAGGTCGCACCTCCAGCCAGACAATCTTTGCACTGAACCCCCGTGTGACTTGACTCGGAAAGGACCAACGAACATCTCAACCCTCGCCTGCCTATGACATGAACTGGTTCGTGTCGGGTAGCCAGGGAGGGAAGTAGGCAACTGGCAGAACCCCATCTGCCTTCATAGTGTACATCGGGTTGACCCACTCGCCCGCATACTGTCGCAAGGAGTGGGCCCAAGCCAGAGGCAAGCCTAACTCGTGTGGGCCGAAAGTTGATCCTGGGACACACTTCCGTCTGCTCCATGATCACCACATCCACCACCTAGGCATCCAACATCGGGTCGACTTGAGCTTGCGGGCTCCCGAGAGGCCCAGGGCTTGCAGAGAGTGGAACCGGAGTTTCCGAGGCACGGTGTCCGGAGTAATCACCATCCTCAAGCAAGCATACCCTGCGAACTGACTCCAGCCTGGCACCACCAGAGCGAGGTCCCGTCGTGCTTCTGGCCGTCTGCGTCCAAGGGCCTGACAGTCAGAGACTCAATGGCCGTGTCCCATGGTGGCTGGGGCTCAGACTCGTTGAACTTGCCCCAAAGCTTTTTACCGGTGGTCTCCAGTGCCCCTTTGACCCCCAGGTCCGTTATCGCGTCGAGCTCCGTTTCGGTCGGGTCCATCGCATGCCGGGCCAACGTTCAAGACACTGAAGCCCTGCGGCCTCGAAGTAAGCCGGTTGTATTGTAGGGTCGATGTCCCGGCAATTTACGAAAGCCAGCGATACTAGGGGACGACGGTCGACGAACGAGAGGGCCCGTCAATATACCAAAACCACCGATCCAAGTGCGTGCGCCGCTGAACCGCAGCCAATGAAGTCCACCTCCCAAAAAGAAAGCCCAGACCCCAAACCAAGATTGCACAGACAACGAGGCCTCCTCCCACATAACCAACAGCCCGCCGGGGACGGCAGAGCGAAAGCTGGGGGTTGGAATGACCACGAGGTCCATCCACTGCCCCATATGTTCCAGACCATTACAAAAAAAATAGCTTCGGTGTGATCTTGACCCAAAACGGCCACGACCGGACACCTTGTGCAACATCCTCCCACCGACCATGCTAGCTAGGCAAATTGTCACTACTAAAACAACAGGCTATTGTTTAACTCAGAATCACTGTGGCCAAGTGGCTTGTGTGCACTCAAGAGGATGCCGAAACCTGAAGAAGTTAGTAAGGTTGCTATTTCACAAAGCACTGAAATATTCGATTCTGTTGTGCACCCAGTATGCCCGGGCGCTGATTGAATCTGGTAAGATGCCCCTGTCCCCCATGTCACCTCCGCTGCTTAAGGCACAACAAATCCAAGTGGGACACAGTCTTGCTACCACTGCCATCCGCTGCCATGTAACGGAAAATGCTTGCTGCCCCTTGCCACCGCTGCATACGCGAAGAGGTCTTCATCATTGCCTGACGGAGACAGAATCCAACCTTTGAAAGGTTTAGAGTTATGACATGCTGTGAAAAACACGCTGCAATGAACGCCAAGCAATGTGTACAATCTCTGAGCTACTGACACTGCACATCACGATGTCGATCTTCAAGTTTCGAGACTGCATCCAGGCCCTAGGCTCGACAGAGCTTTGGGCAGCATTGTTGAATGGCAACAGCTGCAGCCAAGCCTCATTAAGATTGTGGCATGATGCCAGTGTTCTGAACGACTGCATTCGGCGATCAGCGTGTGAAACTTATGACCATTCCTAAGTCAAGACCAAGCCGAATAAGCTGCATGGAAGTCCGACCTTGCTGCTTGCAAGCAGGGAACAAGGAACTCAGGCCAAGCTTACACACAGCTCGGAAGGTTTGGTCCAATAGCACTTCCCAGGAGGCCGATGCTCTTGCCTTCGGGAGAACCTGATCACGTACCACAAATCACTACCGTAGCGGGGGGGGGTCACTGAAGCTCCAAGGCTGAGGCGGCTGAGGCGCAGGCCTTCCCTTTAGCTGGAGCCGCTGGAGCCAAAGGCATGGGGTGTCGTTCCGCGAGATGAACATGGCCGGCAGAATCATCGAAGGCGCCCCCGCAATCTTGAGCTCTTCTTTCGCCCACTGTCCATACCCATTAATTTGCAGCAGAAACGGAGTTGCTTAGCAAGCTCCGAGCAGCTTTCGAAGCAGAAATGGCCGCGAGGGGTAACCAACACTGCCGTCCATCTGGCATGACGTGGCGCACAGTGCAACAAGCACTTCCACATTCATCATGTGTACGTTGACACGCATCTTGATGAGCATCAGACGTGCTGCCTCCCTCGACCGTATATTCAGTATATTTCCTGGAGATGCAGCTGGGCATCAACCCATGGCAACGCAAATACACAGCGGATGTCCTCGAGCTACCACGGACGAGGGCCGCAGGATACTTCGCAGCCTTGGTTCACCATGAGTGCCAGTGCCTGTAACAACTCCAGTGCCGACAAGCATCGTTCACCGCCAGCTTGTCCAGCGCTGCGGCCGGGAGGTCGACATGACACTGAGATCAGGGGGAAAGGTGGAGTCTCCAGGGCTTCGTCCATCTCATGAACGATTGCACAGCATTAAACCCAATGCCTTGTGGCTGAGTCGAATCAAGTACAGCAGCACATCGGCGATTTCCTGCGCGGACACAAGGTGCGGTGGGACGGATGACCCTTCGTTTTGGTTCTGGTACACCCAGCGTAGATGAGTTGGTCATGCTATAATCGCTAGCGGCTAGATAATGCATCTCGTTGGCCGGTTTGCAATGCAGCGACGTCTTTGTCGCCGAGGGCGAAAAAGGGGACCAGAGAGTCGCATCTGCAGGGGCGATGCGTGGAGGAAGAAGCAGCTGTTTCGAATCTGAATAGCTTTCAGTGTCAGTGGGAGCACCAGGCTTGTGCATGACGGTCTGCTGCCATACTAATAATTCTGTGGACACGAATCGCACCGAATCCTGAATCTTCCGGAAATGCCACAGGATACAAAGAAATACACCAAGATTCACTTGGCCGGATTTGTAGACTGGAGGGCCCCGGCGAGATCTCAAGCAAAGCCAATTCGTTGCTCGATGGAACTGCTTGCTCCACCAGCCGATGACGGACTCAGTGTCACCACGATCCGAATAGGGTCCAGAAAAACCCAAAGATGACCGGCAACACGGTCTCGAAGTGCGTAAATGATCTGAAAGAAGGCCAATCTCCCATCCAACACGGTTGCAACCTGAGCATTGCCTCCGCCTTCAAGCTTTCGGCAATGCGTCAGTGCCAAGCTACGAGTTTCCACGATGCAAATCCCCGCGTTCCACCTGATGTCTGCACGGACACGCCGCCGATCTAATACGCTGAACCCAAACTTATGTCCGAAGCCGCACGGCTCGAACATACCCTTGGCATCCCAAACACATAGGAAAAAGCTGGCGGGCAACTCCTGACGGACAGCAGTGCGGTGCTTCTCGCTCCATCCAGGCAGACCTTCAGCGACCTGCTCTGGCAGGGATGGATGATTGGATGGTCGATGGCTTGAGCTCAACAAGGCACTGGCAGGCGTACAGTTAGAAACAGTGCGATGACAGGTTCAAATGATGCCAGCCTCGCCCTTCCACTGGAAACATTCGCAAAGCTCACCCACCTGCGCTGGGAACACGTGCCACTCGAGGACGAAACCACATGAAGAATTGTCACGCAGCACAGGGCATGCGGCATGTGCTTGCAGTGGCCAGACTGTGTTGTCCGGTACATGGCCTCTCCCACCAGAGCAAGAGCTAGATTTCTCGGTGAGTGAAACTGATCCTGAGGCAACAGAACTGACAAAGCAAAGCCGTCCACGGGCGTAAAAATCGGTCATGTCTGACGAAGCACGAGACGGGAGAAGACCAGCTCTGGCTCTGAGTGGAGCTCCCAATCTCGCTGACGAGCAAAGTCTGCCAATTCCAGTCGAAGCTGCTCAAAGGAAATGCCTGTGCACTGCAATGCAGTGCAAAACGGCTAGGACCCTGCAGTTACCGTGCATAGGCCCGGTTGCAGCTCTGGTCGGGGCGCCTTCGCTAAACTTGGTCTGTGCTGCTGCCTGATTCAGCCGAGGCTTACTCGAAGGGGGTCTGCTGATTGAATGCCGCTAGAGAAAGGCGATCATGCGAGCGCATGCTGCCCGTGCTGCCCATGAGACTTTGACTTTGACCCGAAACACGGCAAAAGAGTCAGCGCCTCTTTAGACCTGAAGCGCGCTGGCCACCACCGAACGGTAGAAACTTACTTGCGTTTACTTGCGTCCTTGAAGTGCTTAGCAGCTGGCTCGCTGGAGATCGGCCCCTCTTTCGAGTTGGTGTGCTCGCCTGAATTTGTTGCACAAGGGATACATATGACGCACTTAAAGCAAACATCGCGTCAAATCTCATCGAGAGTCCGGTGACCAGCGGCAGAGTGTTGGGCAAAAGTCCAAAGACGAACATGAAGAGAAAGCGCTAGCACCCAAGAGGTCCTTCTGGGTCCTTTGGGGCAGCCCCGGCGCAGCAGGGTGGTGGCAGATTTCAGCTTTGGAATTCGTGTACTGAATTTACAAAAGCCCGCTTCGCTACGGCTCCTACCGGTTTGCGACCCCCTGTTCGGATGTCAGGTGATGTGCAAGTTCCATGCGATTCCATGCGCATGCACTGTGTAGCACGGACAGGCAGGTCCTGTCTTTCTACGAAAACATTTCGCCTAGACCTCCAAAACTGCCAGCTTATCCGACCAAACACCACGCTTTCACCGCGTACAAAATCACAAAAACAAGGACAATGAACAATCAAAATAATCATGAACAACCAATAATAATGATATGATAGAAGGCCGGAACACTGCAAATACACCTCTGCCAGAGTACCTTCTTTTCGGCAAATGACCATGTTGGCGTTGCCAAAAGAAAGACTTCGTGACCATTTTCGGCTCGTGAGCCGCGACAGGGCTCGAATGGAAATGCCGAGACCTCCCATCATCTGCAGCTGAGCGAAGCTGAGGGAAGTGCGAGGAATGCCATCGAGAACACCGACAACACCATGAGAAAGTTTCAAGCACCACCTACCGTTGACCAAGAGTCGATTTCTCTGGAGTTGTCCCAAAGTGAGGAGTGTCTCCTAGTGCCTTAGGCCTTAGCCACATCTGTTCTAATTTCGTTCCTTTTGGGACACGACTAGGCAATGCGGTTTTCAGCGGCACATGCTCCAATCGCATCACGGTGCTCTGCGCTGCTCAGCTCCGTTCCAATCCGTCGCCGCTTCAGTGCCGTTTCAGCATGGCACATTCCTGTGCTCTGCTCGCACATGCTAAAAGACTTCATAGACAGTGCTGGCCTGCGTGAAAGATGCGTTCCACCGCACCTATCTCAATACCTGGCGAGATGACTGTAAGGGATCGAAGGCTTCTGCACAAAGGCTTCCTGAAAAGAAGCATGCTGGCACCAAGTTGTTTGGAGAGCGCAGCCACAGCCTGCAACTGAACCATACAAAGCAGGTCCGTCTAAAAATCCAGCAGCCTCACGAGATGCACCATCACCTTATATGTCAATTCCACTGACACGAAGTCGGAAACGGTGGAACGAGAGTCTGAGAATGGCACTGCTGCAGCTTGTCCCATCTGAAGCCATCGGGCTTGAAGCTCAGAGTCACTCTACACTTCCAAACGTGTCTTAACTCTATTGACAAGCTTGATACCTCCAGAAGGGCAAAGGCTCATGCAGGACACATGGTGCTTGCAAAACAAAACCAATGCCTTCACATGACGTGAAGTATCCTCGCAGTGCTGGAAGATCGGGACTTGGTCTAATGGGTCAACCGTGAAGAGTGCTTGATGTCCACAGCTCGAACTCTCTGCATTCCATTCTGCTAGCTTGCGCATGTCAAATGTCGCAGGAGTGAGCTCGACAGTGTCATGTTGCAGAGTGGCAGTTTCTGTGAAGAAGAACCAACCTTGCATGTGCCCGCAAAGGCACGCAAGCTCCCCTCCCGTTGATCCGCAGAGTTCAAGCAGCATCTGCTTAAAAAGTTGATGGGGAACCGTAGCTCTCCAAGTGCACAGAACAGTCGTACTGGCAGCAGCCTTCCGGCAGCACAGCCGCACCATCAGCTGAGAACCGAAAAATGTAGCGGTACTACAGAGTGCATATGTGCAAGACTTGTACCAGAACGAAAAAGCACGTAAGCAACTCAACGACATGCAAGCAGCCCTCAGCCAGGAACAAGCCAGTATCTGTGCTTGTGACGGCGGCCACACTGTACAGTGCCGCAGTAGCACCTTCAACAGCACTTCGAACACGTCCAGAAGCACGTGCGACTCAATGAGGCGCGCGGCCTGGGCCCGCCGAAGTGGCCCTGGGCCCTAACTGGTAGCCAGAGCGTCCTGTCGTCGACTTTTGCAATGCATCTCAACTCATGAAAGCCTGAGACCTGTTGCCCTTTCTTGCAGATAGCAGACTTAAGGGCGAAAGGATCCCTAAAATGCACAGAGCTGCTCAAGTGGGGCAGGTGACTAACATTCAGTGCACCGTCCCTCCGAAGCCCTGCTGCAAGCTTTCACCCTTCTCAAACGAATGGGGCAAATGTCCTCGGCGACCATGCTTGAGTGCCTTTCGGGAGGTGCCTGAATATCCCGTGCACAAGCGTCGAAAGCCTTTTTTGCTTTCATCCAGCAATTCGTGACTCAGGCAAGCACCCAAGGTTGAAGAACTTCCGATAGAGAAGCCTGCATCTAGCCATGGAGCCATTCCGAGCGCGGAGTACTGACTACCAAAGCAGCGGTTTAGCAAAGCCCTCTCGGCCAGGGAACCAAACAGATCCTGCGTGCGATCTGTTCACGCCCACACTATCGCCATGCACTTGCAAAAATGCCCTCCCGCCACTCCGACAGCCCCTGTACACATTGCAAGCAGTGGCAGAAGCTGCAAGAGCTCCAGATAACATGTAAGAGTGATCTGTGCCCAGCTCTGCCTGCTTTGTGGCTGATAGGATGACGTCAGCCCTGACGAGCTCCTCCCGAAGTCTCT